AGTGGGCAGATCCCATGAAGGGACGGTAGGGGGACGAGGCGGAGCCTCCTAGCACCCCTTAGGAAGCGGATGACGGCGCTGTTTCTGCCCACCGATTGGCCCTCAATAGGGGCATGAGAGGCTGCTATAGCCGCCACATAGAATTTGAGCGTGGATGGGGACCGTCCCTTATCCAGCAGCTCTTGCAGAAATGACAACACCTCTGTCAAATTGGAAGTATGAGGGTCTTTGCCGCGGTTTAGACACCAAGCGGAGAAAAAAGACCACTTTAAGGTGTAGAGGCATCTCGTAGCTGGAGCTCTAGCCTCTGAAATTGTGTTTAAGACTCTCTCTGGGAGGCTTGAAGGCTCCCGTCGAGAGGCCAGAGGTGCAGGGCCCATAAGTCGGGCCGAGGATGCCATATTGTCCCATTCGCTTGAGAGAGGAGATCCTGTCTCAGCGGAACAGGCCAAGGGGCCGCTATCAATAGCTGAGTTAGCTCCGATAGCCACAGCTGGTTCATCCAAAGGGGGGCCACCAGGAGAACCCTGTGTTCTCGTTCCCTCACTCGCCTGATTACCTGTGGGATCAGAGTGATCGGAGGAAAAGCATAAAGAAGGAGGTTGGGCCAGTCGTGGGCCAAAGCGTCCCTGGTCTTTGAGAAATAGATTGGGCAGTGAGAGTTGTCTTCTGAGGCGAAGAGGTCCACTTCGGCCTCGCCGAAGATCTCCCAGATCCTCTGAACAGTCTGCGGATGGAGCGTAGGCCTACGTAGGCCTAACCAAGTCAACAGTGGCCTTCCCTGGGCTTGACTTGGGGACTGGAGCCCTCCTTGGACTGGACGTGGGAACTGGAGCCCTCCTTGGGCAGGACATGGGGACTGGAGTCCTCCTTGGGCTGGACATGAGAACTGGAGCCCTTTCTGTGCTAAACTCGGGGACTGGAGCCTTCTCTGGGCTAAACTCGGGGACTGGAGCCCTCACTGGGCTAAAATCTGGGACAGGAGCCCTTCGTGGGCTAAACTCAGGAACTGGAGCTGTCTGTGGGCTAAACTCAGGAACTGGAGCTCTCTTTGGGCTGGATTCGGGGGCTGGAGCGAACTCTGGGGCAAGGATGAGGGCGGAGAACTGGGGGGCCTGTCTTCGGAGCGTCCAGCGGGCTTGACAACGGCGCGGCAAAGCATGCAGCGGTTTCCATGCTGCAGGGGAAAAACAGGAAAAACTAAAAAACTTTCAAAACAAACACGGGGAGAGGGGCACCGCTTACTGTTGTTTGGTCCGGAAGAGAAGAAGAGTACGCTAGCGAGATGGAGTTTACTATCCATCTAGAGCAGGGGTGGCGAACGTCGGTCCTGGAGAGCCGCAGCCCTGCAGAGTTTTTCAACCCTAATCAAACACACCTGAACAAGCTAATCAAGGTCTGAACAGTTACTAGGAAGCTACAGGCAGGTGAGTTTTAATTAGGGTTGGAGCTGAACTCTGCAGGGCTGCGGCTCTCCAGGACTGGAGTTCGCCACCCCTGATCTAGAGAGTATTTGCTTCGTAACCGGAAGCCCTTTGGTGCGGTTACCGAAGCTAAAAAAAGAGTTGTTCCGACCACCTATAGGGGGCGGAACGCACAATATAGATTCGCAGAGCTCTGACCGGGCAGAGCAGAGATAGCTCTCTGTCTTCTTCAGTTGGAGGAAGCGCGGAGAGCGTAATGACTTCTGCTCTGAACGGAGTGGAGAGCACCTTAGGTACGTAACCGTGCCTTGGTTTCAGGATGACTTTAGTGTCGTTAGGCCCGAATTCCAGGCAGGCAGGGCTAATAGAGAGCGCCTGCAGGTCCCCTGTTCGCTTTACTGATGCCAGTGCTAGAAGCAGAGCAGTCTTCAGCGATAGTGACCGAATGTTGGCAGACTGTAGCGGCTCGAAAGTGGGGCCCTTCAGGGCCCTCAGCACAGTGGGCAGATCCCATGAAGGGACGGTAGGGGGACGAGGCGGAGCCTCCTAGCACCCCTTAGGAAGCGGATGACGGCGCTGTTTCTGCCCACCGATTGGCCCTCAATAGGGGCATGAGAGGCTGCTATAGCCGCCACATAGAATTTGAGCGTGGATGGGGACCGTCCCTTATCCAGCAGCTCTTGCAGAAATGACAACACCTCTGTCAAATTGGAAGTATGAGGGTCTTTGCCGCGGTTTAGACACCAAGCGGAGAAAAAAGACCACTTTAAGGTGTAGAGGCATCTCGTAGCTGGAGCTCTAGCCTCTGAAATTGTGTTTAAGACTCTCTCTGGGAGGCTTGAAGGCTCCCGTCGAGAGGCCAGAGGTGCAGGGCCCATAAGTCGGGCCGAGGATGCCATATTGTCCCATTCGCTTGAGAGAGGAGATCCTGTCTCAGCGGAACAGGCCAAGGGGCCGCTATCAATAGCTGAGTTAGCTCCGATAGCCACAGCTGGTTCATCCAAAGGGGGGCCACCAGGAGAACCCTGTGTTCTCGTTCCCTCACTCGCCTGATTACCTGTGGGATCAGAGTGATCGGAGGAAAAGCATAAAGAAGGAGGTTGGGCCAGTCGTGGGCCAAAGCGTCCCTGGTCTTTGAGAAATAGATTGGGCAGTGAGAGTTGTCTTCTGAGGCGAAGAGGTCCACTTCGGCCTCGCCGAAGATCTCCCAGATCCTCTGAACAGTCTGCGGATGGAGCGTCCACTCCCCTGAGGGGACATTGTTCCTTGATAGCATGTCCACTCCTTGGTTCAATTTGCCCGGTATATGCGCTGCTCTCAGCCAGCGCAGGTTGGGTTGAGCCCATTCTAAGAAGCACTCTACCAGAGTGAAGAGACGCTTCGAGGAGAGGCCTCCCTGGCGATTTATGTAGGACACCACAGACATGTTGTCCGATCGGATTAGCACATGGTGCTGCTTTTGGACTGGCAGGAAGAACTGACAGGCTCGACATACTGCTAGCATTTCCAGGCAGTTGATGTGGAAGCCCTTTTCCACCTTCGACCAATGGCCGAAAGTCGGTAAGCCCTTGCACAGCGCCCCCCAACCTGAGTTGGAGGCATCTGTCATGACAACTGTCCTTCTGTAAACCATCCCCATGGCCACAACCTGTTCCATCCAGCGGGAGTTCTTCCACTTAGTAGAGATATTGTTCAACAGTTTGGATATTTTAAATATTATAAATCCAAAAAGCATTATATTTATTAAAGCGCAGTCATTTATCTCAATATCTAAATATATTAAAAGTCAGAAGCAGCAGCATTTGTATGGGATGATATTAGACTCTAAATGATTAATAGATGCACGCACAATTATCCATGTACTGCATACATTTTTTACATGTATCTTACTAACCACAAACAAATGCCTTTCAATTTGAGTCTGTGGAATTCACAATTAAATGATTGTGCAGCGATTTGTACAAATACAGACATGTTTGTGAATAAAAATGTTCTGTTCTGCATTATTATATCATAAATTGCTCATGCAAAAAGGAATCTGTATCTATCAGGTGATCTTGTTCAGTTCATTTCTGTACATTAATGTGCAGCATTTTGTTCAAATAGAGACATATTTGTTTGTATTAAAGTATCATGATTTGTGCATGTAGCGATTAAAATGTGCATTTGTGGATCAGGCGACACGTGTGCATTCATTCACGTCTCTTATGAGTCGATTCTATTTGAGTCATTTGAATTTTGAGACATTCGTTCCACCCTTTTAGCCTTGCCCAATCCACACACACACAGCTCGCGATTATTATTATTATTACTATGCAAAGATGAAGTTGACGATGCTGATTAGCCATCTCTGCAGTACGAGAGAAATGCACCTTTCATATAGGCCTACAGCATTGCAAACGCTACTGCCAAACAAGAACTTCATGATGGTACCTTGTTTTTTCTTTCTTTCTGTAATTCAACGGCACGTTGTCAGTTATTCCTTCCTTGTAGGCTATTATTATTATTATTATTATTACTATGCAAAGATGAAGTTGACGATGCTGATTAGCCATCTCTGCAGTACGAGAGAAATGCACCTTTCATATAGGCCTACAGCATTGCAAACGCTACAGCCTTTTCATTATCAGAATAAAATACAGTCAACCAAACATATAGATACACTATAGAATCTATATACACTTTATAGATTATAAAGTATTATAACACTTTTTTTTTTTTTTTGGTAAGCGGGTTAAGTACAAAGCCTGGTTTACATAGGCATGATAAATAGCAAACATTGTGAATATGGAAACATTTGGATTCGTGCCAAATGAGAGAGTAAGAAAGAGGATTATAGGGCCAAACAATAATAAAAAAAACATCTCCAGAATAAAGTAATTAGCCTATAATGCGAGATTAAACTCATTAAATATCCAGAAAAATGTAGAATTAAATGTTGAGAATAAAAATAATTACATTTCGAGAATAAAGTCGTTCATCAGCATCGTCAACTTCATCTTTGCAGACACTGACTCAGAAAACACTTTAGTAATAAGTCACCTAAATAAAATATGTTCTAGCTATTTATGCGATCCGCTATAGCCTATAAAATGCTCGTTTAGTAGCTATAGTTTACTTTAAGTTAATTTAATAGTTTAATTAAATATAAATGTGCGATTACTAATGGCTTAAATTAGCGACTATAATAGCCCTTTTAATAATAATAATAATACAAAGGAAGGAATAACTGACAAGGTGCCGCTGAATTACAGAAAGAAAGAAAAACCAAGGTACCGTCACGAAGTTCTTGTTTGGCAAAATTAATATAAGCTATTCTGTGTCTTAAGACAAGTTAAATTAGAACAAGTGCAGTACATGGATAATTGTGCATGCATCTATTAATCATTTAGAGTCTAATATCATCCCATACATTTGTAGCAAGAAACCTACACAGGTCAGCTACTTACCATCTGTTTTTTTTGTTGTTGTTTTTTGTGTGTATCACTTGGATCGTGTTCGTTTGTGTGCGAAAGCTGGAAGTATACTCAAATAATTCTTTCAAATTGCCCCAATTGGTGATTTTTGGTGCGACAGGTTTGATGGACTGACCCTCTGTGTTTTTGTTTCTTCAGCTAACCCTACAGGCCCAGTGGTGAAGAGCTATCCTGGTCAGTCTGAGGTTTTCCACGAGTCCAGCAGTACCACAGGCATGGTGGTCGGCATAGTGGCTGCTGCCGCACTTTGCATTCTCATTCTTCTCTATGCCATGTACAAATACCGCAACCGTGACGAAGGAGCGTACCACGTGGATGAGAGTCGCAACTATATTTGCAATTCAGCCCAGTCAAATGGAACAATTGTAAAGGAGAAACCAATGGACGGTACCAGTAGTGTCAGCAAGAGCAAGAAAAACAAGGAGTATTATGTGTGAATCTATTATTCATGGTCTTTACAGGACCATCATTCTCATCCACAGTTCTCAAAAAAGGAAAAAGGCCCTTAGTCATCATATTTTAAACAGTGGTACAGCAGAAATCTGCAATATTTAATTCACGCACATTGGAATGGATAACAGAACAGAAGGACACCCAATTGCGGATGTTCAGAAAATGTCCAGCAGGCTGGTCAGAGTAAGACAAGCTGATTAAATACCCAACAATTACCCATTAGTGATGGAAAGATTACCAAATCCACCCAGACTCTGGCACTTTCTTGTGTAACAAATGCAAGAAGGGAATGAATGAAGAGTGAGCAACGGACTATTACAAAACACCTTCCATTTTGTTTTGCTTTTTGTTTTTCCTGAAGCATCACTGAAGAACAAAAGTCAACTATAAGACCTACTCATGTAAGATAGCAAAAACTCAGAGATTGTGGAAAAGCCCTTAGTCATCATATTTTAAACAGTGGTACAGCAGAAATCTGCAATATTTAATTCACGCACATTGAAATGGATAACAGAACAGAAGGACAGCCAATTGCGGATGTTCAGAAAATGTCCAGCAGGCTGGTCAGAGTAAGACAAGCTGATTAAATACCCAACAATTACCCATTAGTGATGGAAAGATTACCAAATCCACCCAGACTCTGGCACTTTCTTGTGTAACAAATGCAAGAAGGGAATGAATGAAGAGTGAGCAACGGACTATTACAAAACACCTTCCATTTTGTTTTGCTTTTTGTTTTTCCTGAAGCATCACTGAAGAATGAGAGAACAAGAAAGGACAGAACGAAGTCTCTCAGTTGTTCGAATTGATAATTCTTATAGAGCTAATATGAATTTGACAGTTCATAGTAAAAGAAAATTATTTTTGGCAAACATGTGGCTGCAAAACAGTTGTGGATATCTCAGTGATTATGGATTCAAAGTTGTATTTAATAAGTTTCTATACAGTAAAACCACAACTGTTTGCTTTTTGGACTGTCACAAATTTGTGTTTTATAACCTGTTGCATTGAGAATGCAAACTTTACCTACTCCTTGTCAGAAAAGGCCACAAAAGAATCTTACATATGTCTAATATAGAATTAGACAGATAACATAAAAAATGCCATTTGTTATTTGCAATGTTTTATTTTTTCCATCTTGTTGCCTGCAAATGGTTTTCTGCAAATTATTGTTTACATGTTATCTCTTAACTTTTTGACTATGTGTGTGCACATGCACGGCCCATGTTTTGGAAGGTACTCTGAAAGACACACACAAACGCCAGAGCCTTCCAAAGACATATCACTACCAATAAACTGACAAACCTAAACTCCCAAGAGATGGATCTCAGCCTGCAGTGACAGATGGGATGAATCCATGTTCAAATAGTGCTTACACACCCTCAGAATGCACTCATAAATCAAATTAATTCACTCATTTCTGTCTTGAGAGTATGTCTGTCAGTGTGTCTGCCTCATTTCCTACTTTTAGAACAAGAGACGGTTAAACTTATTTTGAGCTGAACACAAGAACCGTTATAAATTCATTTGACTTATTTTTTTAGACCTGTATTACTTTTTTATACAGTATTTTATTTCTGAGACTTTCAAATTGTATGTATTAAAATAGTTTTGAAACATTAATCAAGCAAATAAAATATTACCCTGAATGAATAATTTTCTCCAAAGTAATTTATGAATATGTGCCATCTTGGATAAATACATGTCTATCAGCAAGTATGTATGCATTTAGTTAGTTACTTAGTGTGTTACATATATTTTGTATATTATCACTATGATTAACACTATTTATACATTTTTCTTTTAGGACTGTAACATCTTTAGAAGAAAATGAAATGTTAAGGTAAAAATATTTCCCATCATTTGTTGTTGTTTTTGTAGGCAAGCATTTGAAAAGATAATGTCTGTTTTGGACATAATACATTTTTATTGCCCTTCATACAGACATGATTTCCACAAGTATTTTGATTTAAAACAATTCTGTCACACAACAGAAGAGGACAGACAGGTGAGTGAAATATAAACAGTTTAATGAACGGCTGGCACTGGACAAGAACGAGAATGTAGCAACGATGAGTATAGCAGTTATACTTAGCTGTAAGATAACAGAATGTCTCTTTGGCAGATGCAGGGATGCAGGCGTAGAACAGGAATGAATACAGGGTGGGCTGTTAGCAGACAACAGAAGATGAGATCCTATTCGGCAGGTAAGTGCTCAGGTTGGTATCGAGTAAGTCTGTTCGTGTGGGAACGACGAGACCAGACAAAGGAGTGCAGGTTGTGTCCTTATAGTGTGTACTGATGAGGAGGTGCATGTGCTGTGAATCAGAATTCTGGGGAGAGTGAACAAGTGGGTGGAGTGTGTTGATCTGGTGATGATGGGTTGATAATGTTCTGAGATGGTTTTGACTCCGTGACAGTATCCCCTCCTCCACGGGCGGCTCCTGATGGCCGATTGGTGCGACGACGGGGGCTACCTCGACCCCTGGGAGCTGGGCAATCTGGATGTTCGGTGTGAAACTGGGTGAGAAGGGATGGATTGAGCACATCATCATGAGTAACCCAGGATTGCTCTTCCGGGCCGTAACCCTCCCAGTCAATGAGGTATTCGATGCGATTGCCCCACCATCATGAGTTGATGATGGAGCGGACCCGGTAGATGACCTCCTCGTCAGCCAGTTCAGGAGGGGGAGGTACCTCATCGTCACCAGATCTTGTGAGGGAAGAAGATAAAACATTCAGTGTGTGGCTTTAGGAGTGATTCATGAAATGAAGTTAAGATTCTGTAGTGAGGTGGCAAGTTTAGCCTGTATGTGACCTCGTTGATCTGCCACTGCGCGGTGAAGGGACCTATGTAACGGGGACTCAGCTTACGGAAAGGCAGGTGGAGACGGATGTTCTGTGTAAAGAGCCACACCTTCTGACCTGGTTGGTAACGAAGGGTCGATGTTCTGCGGGCATCAGCTCGTATCTTGTGTCTTCGCACTGCCTGTTGGAGATGCACGTGTGCTGAGTCCCACACTCTCTCACTCTGCTCGAACCAGTGATTGACAGCTGGAACCTCTGAGGGCTCACCGGACCAGGGGAACAAAGGAGGTTGGTACCCGAGGATACATTGGAATGGGGTGAGCCCGATGGTGGACTGCCTGAGGGAGTTCTGGGCGTGCTCCACCCAGGGAAGAAATCAGCTCCAGCTGTTTGATCTCTCATCTGCTGATCTCTTGGATCCGCTCAGTCTGGCCATTAGTTTGCGGATGGTAACCAGAGGAGAGGCTGATGGAAACTCCCAGGAGCTTGAAGAAGGCTTGCCATACCCGTGAGATGACTTGAGGGCCACGGTCTGATACTATATCTTCTGGTAGACCAAAATGACGGAACACATGCTGGAAGAGAGTTTCTGCGGCTCTAAAAGTATAGGGCCCATCTGGCTTGACGTGGGTTAAGGCGTTTGACTTCACGTAAATACTCTATCCTATGATCCATGATGACTTCAAAGTGGTGATTAGCTCCCTCAAGCCAATGTCTCCATTCTTCCAGGGCTAACTTGATGGCCAAAAGTTCTTGAATTACCAATGTCATAGTTCTGCTCCACCAAGCACAGCTTCTTAGAGAAGAAGGCACATGGATGGAGGCATGGAGGACCGTTCTGACCCCGGTGGTGGAGGCATCTACCTTTACGACGAAGAGGAGATCTGGATTAGGATGTACCAGGATCAGAGCAGATTGGAAGGCTTCCTTAAGATAATGAAATGCTTAGATGGCTGATGGATTCCAGGACAAAGATTTGGGTCCGCCCTTCAGGAATGAAGTGAGAGGGAAGCTGAGCAGACTGTAGTTGTGGATGAATCATCTGTAGAAGTTAGCGAATCCCAGGAAACGTTGAAGTTCCTTTATACTGCCCGGTTGTGGCCAGTTCTGGATAGTCTCCACCTTTCTCTGGTACATCTGGATGCCGTGTTTGGTCGATGACATACCCCAAAAGGAGTGCAGGTTGTGTCCTTATAGTGTGTACTGATGAGGAGGTGCATGTGCTGTGAATCAGAATTCTGGGGAGAGTGAACAAGTGGGTGGAGTGTGTTGATCTGGTGATGATGGGTTGATAATGTTCTGAGATGGTTTTGACTCCGTGACAGTATCCCCTCCTCCACGGGCGGCTCCTGATGGCCGATTGGTGCGACGACGGGGGCTACCTCGACCCCTGGGAGCTGGGCAATCTGGATGTTCGGTGTGAAACTGGGTGAGAAGGGATGGATTGAGCACATCATCATGAGTAACCCAGGATTGCTCTTCCGGGCCGTAACCCTCCCAGTCAATGAGGTATTCGATGCGATTGCCCCACCATCATGAGTTGATGATGGAGCGGACCCGGTAGATGACCTCCTCGTCAGCCAGTTCAGGAGGGGGAGGTACCTCATCGTCACCAGATCTTGTGAGGGAAGAAGATAAAACGTTCAGTGTGTGGCTTTAGGAGTGATACATGAAATGAAGTTAAGATTCTGTAGTGAGGTGGCAAGTTTAGCCTGTATGTGACCTCGTTGATCTGCCACTGCGCGGTGAAGGGACCTATGTAACGGGGACTCAGCTTACGGAAAGGCAGGTGGAGACGGATGTTCTGTGTAAAGAGCCACACCTTCTGACCTGGTTGGTAACGAAGGGTCGATGTTCTGCGGGCATCAGCTCGTATCTTGTGTCTTCGCACTGCCTGTTGGAGATGCACGTGTGCTGAGTCCCACACTCTCTCACTCTGCTCGAACCAGTGATTGACAGCTGGAACCTCTGAGGGCTCACCGGACCAGGGGAACAAAGGAGGTTGGTACCCGAGGATACATTGGAATGGGGTGAGCCCGATGGTGGACTGCCTGAGGGAGTTCTGGGCGTGCTCCACCCAGGGAAGAAATCAGCTCCAGCTGTTTGATCTCTCATCTGCTGATCTCTTGGATCCGCTCAGTCTGGCCATTAGTTTGCGGATGGTAACCAGAGGAGAGGCTGATGGAAACTCCCAGGAGCTTGAAGAAGGCTTGCCATACCCGTGAGATGACTTGAGGGCCACGGTCTGATACTATATCTTCTGGTAGACCAAAATGACGGAACACATGCTGGAAGAGAGTTTCTGCGGCTTTAAAAGTATAGGGCCCATCTGGCTTGACGTGGGTTAAGGCGTTTGACTTCACGTAAATACTCTATCCTATGATCCATGATGACTTCAAAGTGGTGATTAGCTCCCTCAAGCCAATGTCTCCATTCTTCCAGGGCTAACTTGATGGCCAAAAGTTCTTGAATTACCAATGTCATAGTTCTGCTCCACCAAGCACAGCTTCTTAGAGAAGAAGGCACATGGATGGAGGCATGGAGGACCGTTCTGACCCCGGTGGTGGAGGCATCTACCTTTACGACGAAGAGGAGATCTGGATTAGGATGTACCAGGATCAGAGCGGATTGGAAGGCTTCCTTAAGATAATGAAATGCTTAGATGGCTGATGGATTCCAGGACAAAGATTTGGGTCCGCCCTTCAGGAATGAAGTGAGAGGGAAGCTGAGCAGACTGTAGTTGTGGATGAATCATCTGTAGAAGTTAGCGAATCCCAGGAAACGTTGAAGTTCCTTTATACTGCCCGGTTGTGGCCAGTTCTGGATAGTCTCCACCTTTCTCTGGTACATCTGGATGCCGTGTTTGGTCGATGACATACCCCAAAAAAAAGGACAGAGGTGGTGTGAAAGGGTGGTATCTGCTGGATCTCCTCAAAGACCTTGTGCTGAAGTTTCACCAGCTGCTACAGGCTGCTCTTCAGCTCCTGCAGAATGCCTGGGTGTCTGTACAGAGATGTGATCTCCGGCCAGAGGCTAAGCACTGGCCAGTCAATTTCCATGAGTGAGCTGAGGGAAGCCTGGAATCCATGCAGGCTCAACATTTTCAGTGGCTTTTGTGGTCTTGTTTTGCTCCTCGAAAGACAGGACTTTTAGAAAGGCTTTTAGAGTTTTGTGAGTTGCTTAGCTTTATACTGCGTCTTCATCAGCACCAGCAAGTTCGTAAGTAAAAGCTCAAACTATTACTGAACACTACTGTTCAAAAGTTAGAGGTTGGTATGATTTTTTTATGTTTTTTGAACGTGTTTTTTATGCAAGTCCTTTGCTCACCACTACTGCATTTATTTGATTAAAAATACAGTACAAACGGTATTTTTAATACCTTTTACCTTGTCAGTGTCGTGCGCTTTGCTTGGCCATTTGTTGTGATAAACAGGAAAGTGTGTCCAGCTGAATTCAATTTGAGTTTTGTTAAACGAATAAAGAAGCTTAGTTTACCGCAGCTGCGGTCGTGTTAAGACCGAAGAGTGTAAAGAGCATCGACTCTACCGTGCGACTCC